AACTATTTTTCATATAAAATAAATCACGTCTGTTCCAAGGAAAACTATGAAAGGTATCGACAATCTCTCTGATAGCATTATACCTTTGAATAGAAAAATAACTCCAATCAACCTAGCCCCAAAGTAAGCACTGTAGGCTTGTGTAAATAAATAGAAATACTTGGATGTTTAATCATCCTTGACTGGAGTACAAATGCTCATATTCATCATACAGACACCTGACCCCACACGGATTCGAAGACAGGACCTTTCGATTAGGTGATACCTAAAAACCCGGCGTACAAACCACTCGGCCACGGAGGTCGTCAATCTGATCAAAGTTAGACTTGAATGACTATTAGCCATGTCTTAGCAAATTGTTATTTATTAAGCTTATTGTAATACTCTTTAGCGACACCAACTCTCGGCGAAAATATTCATAATCCAAAAACACCAAGTACCGTCACATTGTTTCGTTAAATTATGCGGTTCATCCGAAACTTGGCCTAAACTAGTTTGCAAGCGAAAATGACTTTTGTGCTTCGATGTTAAGGTTTAGTTTGAGGGGGAATGCCCACCGCATTTATTTATTTACTTGGAGATGGATATGTGGATTGTTGTGAAGTCACATGTTAGACAGTGGCCCCGAGGTGATTGTTCCCACATATTTCTTACAGATTTTGGCTTGTAGGTATTTAGGATTGTTGGCATACTAAACATAACAATAGCCTGTCAAAATTTATGACTGTTTATTATATTGGAAATAATACTCACACACTCCAGCGTGACTGTGTACCAAATATTTCATGTAAACTTATTTACTTCACATAGGGTATCATCATCATCGGCCTATTAATGTCCTCACTGCTGGGGCACAGTCCTTCGCTATGGATGGAATAGGGAGATTGGACCATGAACCACCACGCAGGCCCAGTGCGGATTGGCGGGTACTCCAACGGCTTAACGTGCCTTCCGTAGCACGAATTCGATAAGTAGGATATATCACAGCTATACTCCATCGCATCGGGCCATTTAAGGGTGAAAAGTTTTTAATTTTTAACTTCTATGTTAATAAAAGAGGGATGGTTGTGTCAGTCTGTTGAATAATAGCGAGTAAGCACAGTTTGTGCAACAGATTACCTGCGAGTAACTGCATCGTATAGATCCGTAACTATGGAACGAAGGTTTTTTTAGTGCCAAAAACTTTTCAACCTTTTTAAGATTTAATTAGCTTTTTATAGTTAATGAAATACAAGTACACTTTTTTGCAATTAAAAAGTATCTTTATAATAACAGGGACAGTATTAGGGTACAGGGATATCAGGATTTCTATAGTGTTGGTGTCTCCACTAAGTTGGGGAGACATCAGTACCCCTAGCACGAACCATCATCGAATTCGAAATGTCACTGTCAAATGTGTACTGATTTTTAGTTCTTCTTACGTACTTTATGCCGCTGCTTTTCAAGTTTCCATACAAAATTGTCAAGGTCAAATTTCAGTTTGCGAACTATTCGAATTCGATAATGGTTCGTGCTAGGGGTACTGAACTTTCGTTTAAAATTATGTATATAGGTATTGTATACCCGTATATACTCTGCCACATGTCTGCCATATTTAGCCCTACTGGCCACTTAAAATTAAATAGAATACATGTTATGTTGAAATCGTAAACTTTTAAAATGGCATAGATTCCATTAAAATGAGGTAAACGCAGACCGAGAGAGACGTTCCTTTTGAACACAATTACATAATTAATTCATGGAAAAGTTGCGATGATACGTTATATAATTTGGTTTTTAGGTACATTGAAAATGTTCTTTCTCTTTAAATATTTACCCACGTATAAATTAAATATAAAATATTATCTGGTACATGTTGCTAAACTCAAATAGGAACTCGTCTCAAGCAATAACTCATAGTAAATAGGTTCACTAGAGGTGTCCCGATGTCTTTGGGGTAATTAGTAGCAGGTCATCATACTTGACACGTGTATTTTTATGGTTTTAATGTAAGCTTGGCAAGGCACATACGAGTACTCAATATCTAATATATAAAATTCTCGTGTCACTGTGTGAGTAATTGAACTACTCCGAAACGGCTCCACCGATTTTCGTGAAATTTTATATGCATATTCAGTAGGTCTGAAGATCGGACAACATCTATTTTTCATTCCCTTAAATGTTAAGGGTGGTCGTCCCTTAATTTTTTTATGGACTAATTTTTTTGTTTTTATTTATATATGATACATCATACAAAAATAAATTTCACCCTTCTACCACCAACCCCTATTTTTTCATGGCGGTACGAAGTTTGCTGGGGCACCTAGTATAATTATATTAGTAAGTTCTGTTATCTCCCTCAGGTCGGGGAGTACAGTACTGCAGAAATCCTGATGTATCAGTGAGACCGTCAGGGGAGATAGGCGTCCGAAGCGGATTTAAACTTTCGGTTGTGTTGTGTTTCGGTGAGGAAGGTTCTAGTTCTGGGGCTCCATGGGGTAGGTGATCGGAACAGTCTAGGCAGCGGCATGAGCTTTGATATCTCAAGCGTCAACAGGCTATGGTGACCCTTTCCCATCAGGCGCGCCACATGCATGTTTGCCACACAATTAACTTAAAAACTACTCGATGCTTCCGTTTCACCAGGAATCGGCTCATTGTTTATTTACCTGGATTCATTGAGATGGTGTCAATATATTGATCATTAATTTCTTATGTATTCATTGACGCCATCCATATTATCCCATAGGTTTTAGATTAATCGTTGTTTGGGTGTCTGATTAATTAACTTTTACATTTTATGAAATCTCTTTCATTTGATATTTGAAAAAGACATCAGTCACATTTATATTAGTCGAGGAGCCGTCGAACAAAACGGTATAATTACATAAAATTAAATTTTACAGGAGCTGTATTAAACTGAATGACATACCTCCAGTGAGCTTTTGGCATGGTTTTTAATTTATAAATTTAGTAATTTTAACACTGTTTTAGGCGGTGTTGATTAAAAATCATTTGAGATTCAAAATCACCGGGCCCGAAACCTCTGGACTGTAAAAAAAATAGTTTGACCAGATGCGTAATTATATCGTTTTGTTCACCAACTCCTCAGTTTTAACTTCTGGACTTCACTGTCACTTAACATCAGGTGGAGTCATTTGTCAAACCTATCTATAAAAAAAATCTTTGAATGGGATCGCAGAAAATGAGAAATGCTATTAATAAAGCTGATTGTATTTCATCATCATCATCAACAGCCCATCTTATTCCACTGCTGGACATAGGCCTCTCCAAATGCACGCCACTAAGATCGATCTTGGGCTACTCGCATCCAGCTCCTGCCAGCCACCTTGCGCAAATCGTCACTCCATCGTGCCTGAGGACGTCCTACTACGTTTGCCTAGAGGCGGTCTATATTCTAGAACTCGTCTACCCCAACGGTTACCGGTTCTTCGTCAAATATGGCCAGCCGACTGCCACTGATTGTATTTACCTGATGCTTTTCCCATTTTGGTACTAAATGTGCTACAAATCAGCGTTCGCAATTTGAATAAGTTCTGTCGTAATGAATTAACGGACTGCGTATAGGGTTACCATTTAAGAATTTCAAAAGTACAAACAAAAATCATGACATTTCAAAAAAAGTCCGGACTTTTTAGTCACGAAATGGTACCATTACGCACTTAGTTACAATGGTATGATATTTAAATCAATATGTACTTTTATTGTTCATATTCTGTATGCTGCATGTAATTTAGAAAATCTGGACAATTTAAAGATCCGGGCAAAGTCCGGACTATAGTCAAAAAAGTCCGAACATGTCCGGACTAATGGTAACCCTAGCTGCGTGTCTTTAAGCGCTAGACGTTAATTTGGCACGCTAAAAAACGTGTACGTGGCAAACGATAAATATGTTTGTGCAGAAGGAGCGTACTTAATTCAAAGTTCGAACGCAAAGTTTAGCGCATTTTAGTACTAAAGCCACCCGAAGCTTCATCGCGCAGATGTGGGAGCAGCATGAGGTATTTAATGTGAAGAAAGTTAGAGAATCAGAAAAGTTGAAAATACTGAAATATCACTCAATATTTGAAAGTAGATCATCCATAAGTTACTTGTAAGACTTCATTTTATAATCAAATATAGCATTTGGTACCAGAATATATATTTCAACATTTCAGTCTCAATTCGTGATAATAATCGCTATTAAGGAATCTCTCAAAGATCGAGCGACAAATATCAGTTCTGAGTAATATCTGTTTTTCTAATCTCATACCAATATCACTCTTCAATAATTTCATATCAACATATTAAACCAAATATTTTCGGTGAGATACGTCTAACGGAAATGTTTTGGTTTAATACGTACACGTAAAGTAAGGGATGAAATGAAAGATGTCATTCGAAAGTTATAGTTTATATTAGATTTATAATAAGATATGTAGTCTACAAAATTTCACAAATTTTCACAACGTTATTTGAACCTAAAGCGTCTACCCATTTTATTATGAAAATAAAATCATCGAAATCACTGGATCTACGAACGACGGGAGCTGATTTTACGCAACCATTATTTTTTAAAATATAATCTAATAGGCAGTTATTTTATTCACGCATATCTTTACATGAGTAAGTCAAAAACTAATAACGGTAAAAAAATAAAAAAATATCAATCCATAAAACCAGCCCCCCGTTAACTCAACACAACAACGTCGTCCCATACATATACAATAATATTTATTATCGTTATATTTAACTAGAGTTATACAGAATAATGATTCCTATGAAATATAATTATGCATTCTTTAAATTTATTCAATATAATAATAATAATACTTAATAAGTATCAAATAGGTAATGGTTAGTCAATGTCCTGCTACAGACTACTATAGTTAATATAATAATGAATGAGTCATATTATTTCTTTATCATTTAATCAGTTATTTATTATTATTTAAATTTATTATTACTCGATATCATAACCAGTAAACGAACATACAGCAGCCTCGGCCCGACGGGCGCACATAATCACAAAAAAACATCGTCAACACATAAAATAATAATCAATAATAATAATCATACAGATAAAAATCATCCATAAAAACATTACAATAAAAATCTAAACATTAAAACACGCTTAAAACAAACATTATATTAATATTATTATAATCATAGTGTACGTACGTATAAGCGAATAATCGTATAGTCAAAATAATGTGAGCACGGCGCACGGGGGAGCGGGGCGGGCGGCCGCTCGGCGCTCGCGCATTACCTTACCTACGGGCGCGGCGCGGCCCGGCGCGACCAGGCGCGACCAGGCGCTACCGGGCGCGACCAGGCGCGACCCGGCGCGGGCCGGCGCGGCGCTACACACAACCAACTCATTACCTATAAACAACACATTAGCTAGGCGCGGCACACTCGCGCGCACTCACTTCACTACACTACTCTAGCTAGACTCTGAACAGACAACAGGCCGCGCGTGCCGCTCCCCGCGCCGCCCGTCCCTCGCCTATTATATTATTATAATAATATCTTAATACTTTACGCTATTACGTTAGGTAAGCTTTATAAATTTTTCGATTTCTCATTTATGCTATCAATAATAATTATACAACTTTTTTTAAATTTTATGTTTTTTTTTCGAAATTCTATCGTAACGTACTTCGACTCTCTCTGCGGCGGCGAGCGCAGCGCGCGCTCGACGACCTAATAAAAAACGTTCATAATAAGAAAATATATCGAGAACAACTCTGCCGACTTACGATAGGTACGGCGCGGCGGACGGGCCGTGCCGGCGAGGCGCCGACTTTTGGCACCAGGATTTCGATTACGCAATTTTTTATTCTTTTAATATTTTTATAACGATTCGAGTAAAAAAGACCGATCCCTAGCGGGCGAGCGTGCGGCTCGAGGCGGCTCGCGGCGACGTCGGCGCTTACGAGATGATGCGGATCGCCTGGTGCGCGGGCGCCGAGCAGGCGGGGCAGGGCGCGCCGCCCGCCGCCAGCCGCTGCGCGCACTCCAGGCAGAACAGGTTGTGGCCGCACGGCACCAGCGCCGCCGCCACGCCGCGCTCGCCGCACACCAGGCACGCGCGCGCCGGCGACGCCGCGGGCGACGGCCGCGTCGGGCCCCAGCCCCACACGCCCGCCGCTCCTCCCGGAGACTCGAATGACGGCGACTCGCCTAGCCCTTCGTCGCGCTCCGTCGACGACCAAATCCCCAGTAAGTCGCCTAGTCTCGCCGAGGACCCGCCCGAGGAGCAGGAGCCGGCCGAAGAAAACGTCGCTTCCTGTTCGGGTCGGAGCAGAGATGCGATGCCGGCCCGGTACAACTGCGCCAGCGGCTCGCTGTCTGTGGGCGCGGCGGTGGCGCCGCCGGCGGCTCCCGTGCGTAGCGCGATATGCGCCTCGATCTCCTTGCGCGCCGCCTCCACGCTTTCGGGCAAGCCGGTGACCTCGAACACGGGCTCGCGCTCGCGAGACGGTGTCACGATGTAGGTGTGCGTCGTGTGTTGAATGCGTTTGATGGTTGCGCCTTTAGGTCCGACGACGAGGCCGACGACGCGGTACGGCACGCGCACCTGCGCGGTCACGTGTCCGGGCGCGCCGGCCGGCGGCGGCGGCGCCGCGCCGCATTTGCGCGACGCACGGATTTGCGAAAAGTGTTCCGCTGCTGACAGGATCTCACGTTTTGCTCTCGCCACATCCTCTTTACGTCCGGTGACCACGAACACCGGTTCCTCGCCGCGAACTGGTGTTTTTATGTATGTGTTGGTTTTCGCTCGCAGAGCCTTAATTTTGCAACCTGTAACAAAAGAAATGAATACTTTAGTGAAATCGTTAAATATTCAACTACAAGAGGAGCGGGAATGCTCTGGCGCCCAAAATGGCATCGCGTAAAGTCAAGGTTACGTGTTTAGGAAATATACGCTACACCTTTGTTTAAAATTAAAGGACATTCACTATGTACATTTGGGCATGATAAGCCGACGCGGTTTTGTTTCCTGGCATCAATGTGGCCCACGAGACGCCCCTCCCCTCGAGGCCAGACGGGTCGGGTGGGTGGTCGGCTGGATCCGTCAATCGGCGACGGTCCGCCGTTCGAGGCACTCGCCCCTACGCTAAATAAGGTAAGCACAAGCCGAATATTTGCGAAATATTTATTAATTGAACCTTGTCCCAAAAAAATTTGCTAACTGACAACTTATTTTAATAAATATGCGCAATGATTCTTGTACGTAGTGTCTTGGTATGGACAGCCATGCTCACTGCGGTTTTCCTGTTCGTTTGGCGCGCGGTGGACCCGATCGCCCCACCCCTCTCTCCCGTCCTTAATGCGGCAAACCATCGCAACGTTGGGAACAGTTTCCGATTTTAGCGTGATAGCTTACCGGCGTACCTTGTTTGTTAGTCGAACATTTAATAAATGATGCCCAATAAATAAATAAGAATAAATTTACAGTAACTTATCAATTAAATAAAAATTCACATAAGTTTTATCATGAAAGCTTTACAAGATCAAAGTTTTATTAAGTAAAACCTCATTATCCAATAAAGAAGTGCATAGGACTCAATGCTCGTAAAATTATCTGACAGTAAAAAACATTGAGAAAAGTGGTACTGATAGAAGATAAATAGATAGAACTCGAAAGCGGCAAAAAGAATGTTACATCATAAATAAATAGAACTAAATTATTAGCGAAGACAAATTGAACGTAATAATAATTGGATAATTCAAGCCCCTCAAGTCATTCCTTGAATTCTTAAGTAAGCTTTGAGAGAATCGTTATGAGACTCCCAACATTGTTTATGGGTACAAAAAATATAAAACAAAAGAAGTGCTCAGAATTCATTAAAATAATAGGAGCAATTCTTTTCGGGTGAAAATCAAGCATAATCCTGACCGCAATAAATAAGAGGCCTCTCATAATGCGGGGTAGTTTGTGAATTATAGGACATGGACTAGGTGAATGTCCGGGCTGACAGTATCTAGGATATTCCAACTTTAAACTTTATACCGCTGCGTTAGAGCTACAAATTTCAGACGAAAATCGTTGGACAGGCCTAGGGTAATGCAGCCAAAATGTAGAAGGCTTTAAGGCACAAAATGCTATGGCAAAATTCGGCGTGATTCGTTAGCAATGAACGACCCTGGTACACGGGAATCGGAAAAGTATCATTTTTCCGATTGGAATAGGCACAATAATGTTTTGTACGCCATTAATTTGATTTGCTAATTAAATATCTTTGGAGGTTGGATTTCAATTTACTGTTGTGAGCTTTTATAAAGTTGTTTTTGTTGAGTTGTTGTTGAAGGACGGATCGGGCTGAAATTTGGCATGCAGGTAGATCTTATGACGTAGGCATCCACTAAGAAAGGATTTTAATCAATTCTACCCCGAAGCGAAGCGAGGGCGGGCCACTAGTCAAAAGTAAAAAGCTCTGGAACAAAAACTAAAACCGATGTTTTCATAAATGGTTTCAGGAAAGAGTATACTCTAAATTGTTAGAACCTTTTTGTTGTTTCATTTAATTATAAATCAATTGAATTGTTGTTATAAAATTTAGTAGCTAAAAAATAAGCCTACAACGCTTTGGATTATAACAAAGGTGATAAACCTACGCTGATTAATTAGCCCTACCTCAAATTTTTAGGTAATTAAGTTGTTTTTTATGCATAGCATACGTAGGTCCTTGTAGAGCACTCAAGAGCTAACTAGTATCTCGAAAATGGGATGAATTGTGCGACAATTGTAAGTTATTTAGTTTTAGTAGCGTCAGCAGCGTCTGTGGAATGGTGGCTATGCAGATCTGGCAGACCGCCAGGCGGATGCAGGATTAACGGAGCCTACACTACGACGATGAGTATGGTCGGCAAAAAAACGACTAAAAATTTTCAGCTCTTTTTTTCAGGTTAGCGAAATCTATAGCGATTAAGACGCTGGTAGTTTGTATGGTTAGTCTTCAATAGCTCTAAAGTCCAGTTGTGAAAACTTAATATAACCATCCCGATATGATCCCTAATTTAGGAAATGCAATGCAAATAAATATGTACGTAGTAAGTACATTAATGAGTTACTATACTACGGTGCAAAGTCTGCGTACAACACTAAAATATAATAGGAGTATACTAAACATCACATACGTTTCAACCTCTTTCAACGAATACTGGCACATAAAAAGTAATTATCATGAACGTAATAGGACTTATATGCTAACTTTTGAAAATAACATATTCCAAAATTGACCTTGTCTCACACTCTAATAAAGTTCATTTTGGTTTACAACAAGCGCCACTGAAGTAGTGCGCGGTTCCGCATAGCCCGTAGCGTAGCAGCGAGACTACGCGCTACGGGCAGTGCACTACGGTGTAGCAACCGGGTCACCCCCCTCCCCCCCCCCCTGCGTCCGTAGCTCCGGTCTGCCTTTGTCAGTACGTGGCGGCCTGACTGAAGTTTCTTTCAGATTTTTCGTTCTGTTCAATGAATTTTCTCTCTGTAGGATAATTTTACCTACATAATTATTGATGTTGAACACTCACTCGGCCTTTGCAAGTTTTTTTAGTACTACCTATTAGTGTTGTATTGCACAAGACATTGAAGTTTATAAAAAGTTTCACAAGATCATTGAACATCAACCCGGGTCCGAGAAAGGACTTTCTTTATTTTCCACTTTTTATAAGCGTGAGCAACATAAACGAATTAAGTATATGTTTTAAAGTTTAACTTTTTATCACCAATCCTAAAAGTTACTCAAATTCCGCGATTCGATACCGAATATGTTTACTAATATATCGCGCTATCGAGCTCATCGTGATTTCAGCCTATAAATGTCCCCGACGGGAGACAGAAGGAAGACTGGGCCATGACCCACCACGCGGGCCTAGTGCGGATTGGAGGTGCTAGCGATTGCAGAACCAACAGCTAACGTGCCTTCTGAAGAAGCAAGGACGAGCTCGAGATAACAATTTTTGGTCACCCATCCAATGACCAACTATAGCGAAAGTTGCTTAACTTCATGATCGCAGGCTGAATGCGCTAACTACTTGTGCCATCGAGCACCTCCCATATCCTCCTCCTGCTCTTCTCGTATTTATGTATAGTTATTATAAATAAATGTCACCATTCGTAATTTTAATCTGAAAGGCCCAGTTATGTCACAACTTTATGCCGTAGCAACAGGGGTGAGAATTGAGTGATTTATAGTTAGTTAGACATTGACAAGGGTTGGGACGTGGCTAATTTACTTTATCTTGAAGACTGCTATTATAATTAACTTACTTATGTACTACTGTAGCGAATGCGTGTTGCTGAGATAGAATAGAATCAACAGTTTTAATAAAATACACATCAAGTGTAAAGAGGATCACGTACGCAACACGGATACGTACCTTATTGATGCATTATTTTTTTGCCTTTGAACTTAAACATAGGAATAAATAAATAAATATTTCCGACAGTCACAACAATTAGCCAAGCCCCAAAGTAAGCTTTGAAGAGTAATGGATAGAATACGTAATAAATAATAATAATAAATAAATATTTCCAACACTCACACCAATTAGCCTAGCCCCAAAGTAAGCACTGTAAGGCCTGTGTTATGGGATGCTAGGGTAACGGATAGAATACATGTACTGTACATATATAAGTATATTTATATAGCAATACATATGAGACATCCATGACTGGAGTTCAAATGCTCGTATTCATCACACAAACATCTGCCCCCACCGGGATTGGAACCCAGGACCTTTCGAGTCGGCGACACCATGAAACCCGGCGTACAAACCACTCGGCCATGGAGATCGTCATATACTGATACATAGGTATAAGTATCAGTATATAAACAATAATATAGGTATGAGGAGCTCGATGACGCAAGTGGTTAGCGCGTTCGGCTGCGATTGTTGAAGTTAAGCAACTTTTGCAATGGTCAGTCATTGGATGGGTGACCAAAAATTTTCTATCCCGAGGTCCTCCGTGGTTCGGAAAGCACGTTAAGCCGTTAGTCCCGGCTGCATCTGCAGTCAGCACCCGCCGAACCGCACTGGGCCTGCGTGGTGGGTCATGGCCGAATCTCCCTATTCCATCCATAGGGAAGGCCTGTGCCCCAGCAGTGGGGATATTAATAGGCTATTGATGATGATGATATTATAAACATTCATGACTTAGAGTACAAATGCTCGTATGCATCATACAAATATCTGCCTCCACCGGAACCTCAGAGTAGTCGACATCTTGAAACCCGGCGAACATACCACTCGGCTATGAGGTCATCGGAGTGGAATACACGGAGGAATATAATAAATTAGCTAATCTTTAAGACTCAAACAATGGTAAGTTTGACAGTCTACTGCCTACACCTCTTAGCCTATTGGCAGTTTTTTTTAAATTTCGGTCCAGCATTATAATTAAATTATAATTACTGTTTTACGAGATTAAAATAAATTAGCTATAAGGGTAGAATAAATAAATACCATCATCATCAACATCAGGCTATTAATGTCCCCACTGCTGGGACACAGGCCTTCCCTATGGATGGAATAGGGAGATTGGGCCATTACCTACCACGCGGGCCCAGTGCAGATTGGCGGGTGCTAACGAATGCAGATGCAGCCGGGACCAACGGCTTCACGTGCCTTCCTAAGCACGGAGGAACTCGAGATAGTAAAATTTTGGTCACCCATCCAATGACCGACCACTGCGAAAGTTGCTTAACTTCAACGATCGCAGCCGAACGCGCTAACCACTTGCGCCATCGAGCTCCTAGCGAATAAATATATGGTATCTTAAATTCAATTCCCACCTCCGCCTTGTATCAAATTTAGGTCAAGTAAGTCATGTTAGACTCGGGTAGGCAAAACAGCGAAAAGCGAAGTCATCCTGAATAATGAAGAAGACAAAGCGACACTGTCCCGCTCGCACCTCCGCGGCCTCTCAGTCTGCGACTGTTTACTTTGATTAATCGATTTTGATACTTTCCACCGATCCTTGAATGTTTATTTTACAAAATTCTGAAATCACATTCTTTATTATTTTATGGTGTATCGAAGATCGCCCTTACAGTTAATTTGAGATTTGATAGAATAAACGTTGGGTACAATGTGATTCAAGACCAAAATATTTTACACGAAAACCCTACTTGTCATTTTTAATTAATGTTGAAAATGTTTATTACATATATTCGTATTCAAGTTCTTTTAAAGGACAAAACTTAAGTCGACAGTGAAAACATCAAAGTACCTATCCCACGTTTATTTTATCTTGGTTTACCGAAAAAATCAAGTCGGCGATGTGAAAGAAAACATTTTTTTTTAGATTAGTCAGTGAATATTGATGAAGGAAAAGTACGAGGGGAATCTTCGCGATCAGTGGCGAGCCGCTGTTTGAGTAGTGACTAGTCACCACGCAGACATAAATCACAGGAGGTCGCCATAACAACTGGCAGGCTTGCAGGGAGGCCGGCCGCGCCGCGCGCCATCTCCCCGCCGAACCGACTTGTTTTCCCGCGCACCCTACGCTACAGCTGTTTTCTTATACAATGCTATAGGCGAATTTCCTGTCCATAATGGATGCCCGGGATCGCGTTTTCATCCATCCTGATTACTATTTGTAACAAGAACAATTTAAATCTGTGAATATTCTTAGTGCAACCATATTCTCATCTCCATTTTTTCTACGTGATAATGTTTTATTTTTCAGATGACGATAAACGAGAAACGGTAAAGAATATCTTAGGCGTCCGTAATACGTTCACACCATTTCACATAGACTTTTGGCCCATGGCCAACACTGACGCATAACAGGTCAGATAAACGTTCAAAGAACTGAACCGCAATGAACCCTGAGTAAAAAGTGTCAACACTTACGTGAATCGAGCAAACAGATCGAAATCAACATGTGTGCACAATACAAATGTCGATGTTTAAACGATCTGCGAGAATATTTGATTTGGTCAAACAGCTTATGTTTCAAAACAAATTACTTACGTTTTTCTCGTGTAAAGTGATCGGTGCTAATTGTTTTAAAATAAGCGAAATTCAGGGTTAGGTTTTTTGTACTTGTGGTGGATTGACGGTGAGGTTACCAAAATGTCGCATGCGGAAAGAGTTTCCTTAGGCGCACCGCGTGTGTGCGGGGCCGACGTGAGGGGTGCGGGGTGCGGCGCCGCAGGGGCGCGAGCCGTGTCGCACCCCGCGATCGATACCGGTCAACGAACCCGCCGCGGTCCGCGAACCGACCGGTGCCGGTGCATTGCCGATCCCGCTGTTTGCGAATTTAACCCACATTTCCACGAGAACCCGCTAATTACTACACGCAGATTACGTACACATTTACATATAACGGATTCGGGTCAAGCTGTAAGGTGTGATAGGGTATTTCTAGTATTCGAAAATGGATCTGAAATAATATCTTTTTAGAAATGGCGCTAAATTACTAATGATGTCAAGTTTATCGTAGGTTTGTAAATAGGTATGAAATTACAAACTTTCAAAAAGTTAATAAAGACGTATTACATGCAACAATATAATATATTTTTAAAATAGGAATATAATATTAAGAATAATTCAGAAAACAACCCCCGAAACACCCATCTTTAAGTGCTGTTTGTTCATTAAAAGAATATACCAAGCTACAATAACATAGTATCTTTACCAAATGCGAATCATCACCATATTTATATAAAAGGCCCAAAATTAAAGTTACCCAAGGAAAATTCGCATCAGGGGGAAATAGCTCTTCCGATGTTTTCGAGCGGCCATTGCACTCAGCTTACATAACACCAGGGGTACAGAGGTAACAGGAGGTAGGCCGATGCTCGCAGATCGTTCTCAAGTGCAAAAAGTCGTAATCTACGACTTAGCTGCTATATAAAAACGGCCTTGTATTCGTGGCAATAAATTCTATTTTGAAATAACTTGCGGCCGGGAGATGTGCGTTCCGGAATGATTAATGGTGCTTCTTAGTGCTGAGGGTACTGTAGGGGGTGAGGCGCGGGGCGAGGCGTTTGGGGTTGATCGAACTGAAATTGGGAGCGTTCAACGCCCGGCCGACATTTGTTCTACAAAGTAATTTGTCAAATGCCTTTTCATGAAATAGCGGTTTAAAATTGATCCTCATTAATTCTAAATGGTTACAGTTTTAATCGGATGTATAAAGTATAAAATCATTTGTTCGACGTATAATTTAGCAAATAATTTTGAATATAATTTCTAAATTAGTTGCTAAATTAATCGTATTACTATTGTATGTAATAATACTAATGTATTATGAAATAATTTTATTTTGTTTGAGAATTCTGAACTTCTGACTAAATCAGGACTACACAGAACTAAGGGTGAAACCAAACGATCGTAAACTTAACTCACATCTATACTTATAATAAATCTGTAAAGATGTCAATTCTGTACATGAAATATATTTTTAAAATAACTATCAGGAGGTGATTAGTGATCGATACTGATGCCAAAAATGCAATCAGAAAAATTTTTGTCTGTCTGTCTGTCTGTCTGTGTGTATGTTCCTTATAGAAACAAAAACTACTCAACGGATTTTAACGAAACTTGGTACAATTATTCTTCATACTCCTGGGCAGGTTATAGTATACTTTTCATCACGCTACAATCAATAGCAGCAGAGCAGTGAAGGGAAATGTTGGGAAAACGGGAGAAGTTACTCCATTTTTTAAGCTTCCGTCGTGGGTGCAGCCTTAATGGTTAAAGTTACATAGAAATCATGTATGACGGAAATATTCTACATAAAATTGTCTAAAAAATATTCCGCAACAGCATATGCCTATCTTTTATGGTTGACTCACAATAACACGTGTAATTATATAAATAAAGTCATTCTTTATAGCACAAGCCTGAGAACAAAAACTATAGTTTACACTACAGCTCTACACCGAAGTGAAGCGAGGGCGGGCCACTAGTCTAAAATATAACGCTAGTTTGGATTCACCCTAAAATAAATCAAACTGTTGCAAGCAATATTGTCAGATTACATACAAGATTCAGTTTTTGAATTTGACCTGGAGACGCGTACTGGCCACTAAAACAATTAAAGACCTTGCCACGTAGGTAATAAATGTTCATTTCATTTACGGTGTTCTAACCACTTGATACATTATGTGACTAGGGATTGACACGTGGCGTCTAGAGAATGTCGCGGGGGTGTGAGGGAGACGCTGCTATCAGGTTGTTTCGCTCTGATTGCCCGAGATAGACATCTTCCCGACGAAAGGGAAATGGTGAGACGAGTCGGTGGTTATTTTGGTGTCGGTTGTCCCTTTTTTGTAATCTTTGTAAATTATTATCGATACAGTGCAGATACGTAACAAAAATGGGCGGTTTTGACTGGCCCAATGTGAATATTTCATTATTCAGGCATTTCGGATGAAATAAGATTGATTTGAAGATTTCATAAGTCTGTATTGTAAGTTAGGCTTCGTGTATATTAGTTATATCTACGTAGGGTTTTAATATGTTGAAATTTGTAGTGTAAATTTTTGCATGAGCTCTCTAAGTACACGTGCGCTAAAGTTATAATTAGTTTTGCAATAGCATGGCTGCAAATCAAACTGTACAGAAGTTTTTAAAGGATTTTGTTTCATTTATTTTTTTAAAGTCGAACACGTGTCCTTACTTCATGAACATTCTATTAAACGCATTTTGTACTTTACTCGTGCATTTTTTATTATCACTTTATGAATTTTATCAAATTTAACTCTTGTTAGTTATTTTTCCATTCCCTATTTTCACGAATTAAAATGAAACAATTTGAGATGTATGGGTGTTTGTAACATCTCATGATAATCATAAAATAGGATAAAAACTCTTTGTCTGCTACTGAATATACTAACGGTACTTTTCAGTCGTATGTATTAGTTTTTAGACTGCAACAAGGTTCTAACCAACCTCCTGCACTTTATCATTATATTCTGTGATTCCACAAAGACTTTTCCTTCCGAGATTTATTTATACTCATCTAGAATGAACTTGTTGACGCCATCGTGCTCATATTTACCTGAAAAAGAAGAAATATCTAATTAGAACACATAACACAATCGTTTGTAAGGGCTAAAGCACATACAATTTCCACTTAAATTGAGGCGCCCATTTAGAAGGAATGAAAGAAAGAAAGAAAATACATTTATTTTGACACAAATAACAAGACAGGAGATACAAGATGTAGGAAGTAACCTTCATCTTAACGAAGACCACAGTAAACCTTGGTCAGAAAGGTTTACAGTGTTCCACGGGTAGGGGAATTGGGCCAGGATAAGTAAAGCACGAATTAAAATATCGCAAGTGTCTACATACGGTATTACGTTAGCATAAGGAGGGCCATATTTTTATTTGCTACCCTGTTTACTTAAATAATAATGAAGTCAAAATAAAATACAATGTTTAAAGACGGCTAATTTCAAACGAGAACGCAGCATTGTTTTTGTACATGTCACAAAACAAAAAAGAAGTTAAGTTGATCTATAAATATTGTCAAATCTTTTGACTTTGCGAGTCGGCCCAAGGTCTCCGATGGCTCGGCTTAACGTCACCCAGAGTCGACCGGAGGTATCAACTTGGTCGCTAAGTTACACCCGACCAGATAGACATCTGTAATGATCGAGTAACAATCAACATCACCTCCCGCATTTAGTTTTTTTGTAGACATTTCTTACGACAGTCAAAAGAAAAAAAACTATAACTACCTATATGTTTTAAATAAATTGCGACTGGGCTTAATTAGCATTTGTGTTTAGTACGTCAGACAGTAGGTCTACAGTTCTGTCTACAGTCTTAGCCACAGAACAAAGAAAGAGGTTAGAAGGGCGTAGTGGGCGGGGCAGGCGCACCACAGTCATGTATGAGCAAATGCTCATAACTTGACCAAAATGTTGGTTCTGATTGCGTCGTTGCTCTCGGTTGTGAGCGCTGATTGGTTCGATTGTTTGATGTCGCGTCGTTTGATTGGCAGTTATCTATTAGGTGGAAATGCAGTCGGGGCGAGCCGGCGACATCTGTTACCGTACAAAACGGTCTCTGATCACCTTTCTAACCTCTGTCTGTATTCTGTGGTCGTTCTGTGGTCGGTCGAAAAGTTGAGCAACTTTGATGGGTTACCAAAAATATACTATTTTGAGCTTCTTTGCGCTTCGGAAAATCGGTAGGCACGTTAAGCGGTCACTTCTATCTATGTGTATAGACACTCAGTATTATAGCTTAGCGCTTATCATGTATGGGACCGACCTCCAATTGAAAATTAATTTCATAGATTTTTTTAACTAAAAATTCGGCTTTGGGCTCCCATTCTTCATAACATACCAAAATTTCAGTTCTGTAACTCATTCCGTTTACGATCTACGAGAGCCGGGACTTACAGACATACGACAGTGACAGCAATAGGGTTCCTTTAGGTACGCAACCCTTTTTTTTGTGACGCAGGCAAAAACTCTGTTTACAGACGACGGCGCCTTTAAGAGGCACACCGCCGAACGGACCTCACACCTGGCTCCCGCATACCTTACGAGCCCCCACAGTGGCTGCCCACTGAGGACCCCGTATCTCTTACGGACGCTTTACGGCATAATATCCGCTAAAAAACCCTGCGAATACCCTCTAAGCTGCTTAGTGCGAAACCGCGGGATCCCCGTTTAGGGATTTTTCCGCGTAGGTACGGAACCCTAAACACTTTCATCGAACGAATCTGGAATGCCCGCTACAATAAGTTACCCTGGTTAGCTGCTTAAACGTTATAAATTCTATGATTGTTCTATGTTAATATAAAACTAAACATGAAGGTCACAAGGATACGATTGCCATTGTTTCGAGTGGCTTTTGAATACGCAATGAATATATGTGTACTTTGGGAAATTAAAACAAGGTAATAATATCAAATCT